TACATCCCCCTTTCCCCCCAATTTAAAATATCTGAGAACTAGGACAATTTGTCCTAGTTATTAGACTATTTTATCCTAACCCCTTAAATTTATTACAATACAAAGACAAAATTATACATAATTACAAAATTATTCAATTACATATATTTCCCTCAACCTTTCTATCTCCAAAAGGCGGGCCTTTATAGTACACCTCGCAGTTGGCCGCATAACAGTTGCTCCCTGGTTCAAAGCCTCCTTACCCGTCATTTCTCCTTAAAACTAAATATCAGGCTCCAGTGCCTTCCCTACTTCTACTAGAAATGCACTAGCCAATGTTTGGGTCACCCTCGCACGTTATCCATTGGGCCAAACCTCTCTAGGCTTCTTTGGCGGGGGAAAAACTGCTCCAACGGGTTGCATTCTTTAAAGTAACGCAACTGGACCACTTCACGACCAGCAAGGTCGCATTTTCGGCACACTTCACATGCACACTACATCTGAAAATCGAGACAGGGCAGGCATCGCAGCGAGACCCTCCATTATCCTATGCACTACTAGGATTCACTGGCCTCATAAAAAAAGGCGGCCATACTCACTGGACCGTTTTCAAGGTCACCTTTTTTTCACACAGGTAACATTAACACTTCTGGCAAGTCAAAGTAGGCTGGGGACATCTCACACTCTCAACTGTCTCTCATGGCTGGCAGGTCACCCCCATACTGGTCGTACGGGGCTGACCAAGCAGGCAGGATACACTCCTTTACCCCCACCTTGATAGCAGGCTGGTCCCAGCAGCTGGAATCCATCCCCGCGGCTCACGTCCTTCCACATCTCCGAGGATGGCAGCTCCTTCATAGTAGATTCTCCTGTCCTGGACATCAGCCAGAATCCCTCACACACCACTCCAGGCATCACCCCCATTCCTCTTGAGCTAGGCAGCTTTCGCGCATCACACCCACGGCCACAGCATATCCATCATCACAGCACGGCCGTATCACAAGCAGCACATAGCACGGCCTTTATCACAGCAGCACACAGCACGGCCACAGCATCGCAGCACGGCTACAGATCGCAGCACGGTCCCAGCATCACAGCACGGCCGCAGCGTCTCAACATCACAGCACGGCCGCAGCATCTCAACATCACAGCAGCACACAGCACGGCCACAGCATTGCAGCACGGCTACTGCATCTCAGCAGGGCCCCCACAGCTTTAGCAGCACGGCTACAGCATCTCAGCAGCATCACAGCAGCCGACATCAGCGTGAAAGCTATGGGTCAGTTGCTCGGGTGAGGTGAGGTCACTTCAGGTCATCAACAGCGGTGCGGTCACCCATCCCCGGCAACTGCGGGTAAAATGGCGGTCCGCAGGCCCAAAGGTCACAGAGGTGGGTGACGCAGACAGACACCCTACATGGATGACAGATCAGGGCAGCAATACATTATGGGGCACATCAGCTGGGGACTGGGGCATATTTAGCTGGGTGATGGGCACATCAGGTGGACAGCAATCATAGGCAACTCTTCAATGGGTGACAGTTGTGGGTTAGTCTTCCAAGGCGGGCTGGGTGACTTCTCATTCCTCTGTAAATATTCAATTTCGGCCAGTAATTGCTTCCCCCAAAAGTCTCACCCAAATACTGATATTCTCCACCATTTATCTCAAACCAACAACCAACTCCACCAAATATAATAATACAACCACACAATTACTCAGACCCACCTTCAAAAAAAACAAGGTCAGTTAAGGTCACTAGGATTATAATATCATAATAATAACACAAAATCAAATGGTAGCATAAGTATAACCGAGCAGTCAAAAATAAGGCACATGGGACTGGTTCCTACTATAAAAATAATAAGAACCACCACCGCTTAGACACCAAGTCATGTAGGGGGGTAATGATTGAATAGGATATAAGTGGGGAATATGGGAGTAAGGGATTATGTAGGCAGGGGAGAGGCAAGGTTGTAGGAGTGAGGTAGGTAATGTGAGGTCACTGGTGACTACAACTTCACCTCTCATTACTCTACCCACCACTCCACACTACTCGCCCTCTCACTACTTTAACTAAACATAAATAAATGGAGAAAATAACGGGGACAGTGAATATTACTATTCTACTCAAACACAGTTTATTATTAAGTCCTTGTACAATAATATATATTTGGGAACAGGAGTACATCATTGGTTTAGATAAATGGGATGGTATGTATAAGCAGTGAGACATGGAACACAATCAACTTGACCAAAATGAATATAACTTACAATATCTGGAGTTTATCTGGAGAGAGTTCCGGGGGTCAACGCCCCCGCGGCCCGGTCTGTGACCAGGCCTCCTTAGGTCAGTGTCCCAGGATGCGACCCACACCAGTCGACTAACACCCAGGTACCCATTTTACTGATGGGGAACATAGACAACAGGTGGAAAGAAACACGTCCAATGTTTCTACTCTGGCTGGGAATCGAACCCAGGCCCTCACCGTGTGAAGCGAGAGCGTTAACCACCAGGCCACCAGAGCCCCAGGTCCCAAGACCTACACAGCACGAGTACTGCGCCAAGCCAGTACTCTGCCCACTGCCTCCAACAGTCTCCTCCAGAGACTTCAGCAGCCTTCTCCCGAGCCCTGCACCCCAGCAGCAGCTCCGCTCGAAGTCTCTGCTCAGGAGCTCTGCACCCCAGCAGCAGCTCCACTCGAATCTCCTGATCATGCTCTTCCTTGGGCTTTTATGGTGGTCCAAGCACCCTCCACAACCACGTGTACGACCTGACGCCTCGGTCTGACGCCGTCAAGAACAAAAGACCTCAGACGTGAGCGTGGCTACAGACTTTTGCCAAGGCAAGGTGTGACCATATAATTGGTTAAATTAGGTCTCCCCAGAGACCTCACAAGCCCAGCTGGACTACATCACAATATCCCTTTGACTCATCTGAGTCTTCAACTTCCAGTTGTGACCCCTCGTTCTTGTGTCGCATCTCTGGAACATCGGGTCACTGTCCAATTTGTCAATTCCTCGCAGTATTTTGTATGTCGTTATCATTTCTCCCCCTAACCCTACTATTCTCAAGTGTCGTCAGGTCAATTTCCCTTAACCTTTCTTCGTAGTACATTCCTCTTAGCTCTGGAACTAGTCTTGTTGGAAACCTTCGCACTTTCTCTAATTTCCTGACCTGCTTGACCAGGTGTGGGTTCCAAACTGGTGGTGTATACTCCTGTATACTGATGTACACGGTGTACAGTCTTGAACGATTCCTTATTGAGGTACCGGAATGCTATTGACAGGTTTGCCAGGCACCCATGTGCTGCAGCAGTTATCTAGTTAATGTGCGCCTCAGGAGATGTGCTCGCTGTTATACTCACCCCAAGATTCTTTTCCTTGAGTGAGGTTTGCTGTCTTTGGCCACCAAGTCTATACTCTGTCTACGGCCTTCTTTGCCCTTCCCTCATCTTCATTACTTTGCATTTGACATGATTAAATTCGAGGAGCCAGTTGCAGGACCAGTCTTTCAGCCTGTCCAAGTCTCTTTTTGATCCTCCATGTTCCTCATACGATTTAATTCTCCTCATTAACTTCACATCATCTACAAATAGGGACACTTATGAGACTATCGTTTCAGTCATGTCATTCATATGTACCAAAAATAGCAGTGGTTCTTGGACTGACCCCTGTGGAATCCCGCTCGTCACAGACGCCCACTCTGACATCTCGTCAAGTACCATGACTCGTTGTTGCTTCCATATCAGTTATTCTCTGATCCATTGCAGCGCCCTTCCAGTTATGTGTGCCTGATCCTCTAGCTTTTGTACTAATATTTTGTGAGGAACTGTGTCGATTGCCTTCTTGCAGTCCAAGAGAATGCAATCTACCCACCCCTCTCTCTCATGTCTTACTTCCGGTACCATGTCATAAAACATGCTGGTTGTCGCTTAGACGCTTGTTCCATTCTAGGTGCTCCACCACTCTCCTGATAGTCTTCTCCATGACTCTGCATAATATACACATCAAATAACACTGGTCTGTAGTTTAGTGCCTTGTGTCTGTTTCCTTTCTTAAAAATGGGGACTACATTTGCGATCTTCCATACCTCAGGTAGTTGCTCAGTTTCAATGGATGTGTTGAAAATGGCATACGGAGAGTCTCTGCTCCCTCTCTATGGACCCAGGGAGAGATATTGTCCGGTCCCACCGCTTTTGTAGTATCAAGTTCACAAAGCACCTATTTCACCTCCTCGGTTGTGTGTATTTCATCCAGTACTTGTTGGCGTATCGCTTATTGGTGTGCCCCCCTTTGTGTGTGTGTGTGTGTGTGTGTGTGTGTGTGTGTGTGTGTGTGTGTGTGTGTGTGTGTGTGTGTGTGTGTTGTGTGTGTGTGTTGTGTGTGTGTGTGCGTGTGTGTTGTGTGAGTGTGTGTGTGTGTGTGTGTGTGTGTGTGTGTGTGTGTGTGTGTAGTAAAACTTTGTCTATGGAATACATCAACGAAAATCAGTCTATACATAAAGAAAACAAATTGCATCTTGCATGTTGAATCCATGCCACAGATAATTCAGGCAGTTCTTGTTGGAAAGGGAGTCGTACGCAGTACTCGAATGGTGTACCTAATGAGTGGGTACCTAGTGTATGTACAAACTTGGAATTTATACCGGACCTTTTCCTGTTATATGTTCAGTGCTGACTCGCATCTTGGCTTGGCAAGACACCACTACCTCACATCTTACAATTTCCAGGTTACCCTCAGCAGTTTTGTCTTTAAAGTCAACGTTAATCATAATTTCGTAACGAGAAAATATCCTTAATTAATCCTATATATAATAATGGCTTTTGATCTATTCATATGATGATAAATCCAACGTACTCTTTTCCATTCTTTTTCTCATTGTGTCTATTGTCATCCTCGCATATAATATTTATGCTTGTGTATACTCCCATTCAGTTTAAATGTATTTATATGCGCCATATATATTCCGTTCACATCTTGTCTCCCCACACACACTCAGTGTGCCTGATTTTCTTCTTCAGAACCACCTGTACTGGCGGATCTGAAGTTTCCCGCGAGGTTGGTAGAAGGAATGCGTCTGTCAGTAGCTTGTTCACTACTGAGCGGGGACCTTCCCATCAGTCTTCGCTGGTCCCGTGATGGCCGGCCCCTGCCTCGTGACCCCGTGCTCACTGAGACACACTCGCAGTTCTTCTCTAACCTGGTGTTCGCTGACATCCGCGGCAGACACGCCGGCGAGTACACCTGCACAGCCTCTAACTCTGCTGCTGCTTCAACTATCTCGGCCACCATGGACGTACGAGGTAACCTGACTCATTCTTCTATTTTTTGGTCAAGTTGGCCACCTCTGTCGCTTTTCTAGTAAGAATGTGACTAATGGCAGATGATACAAAATTTTCGTAATTTACATTCTATTTTCTCATGTCTGTATCTCACGTTTCATTTTGTCGTGTTTTCTTCGGTGCTATAGCCGTTGATTGTTATTCTTGTTCTACTCTTATTATAACCTTTTGATTTTCTTTCCTTCTAACTAGAGGTGCTGTCTTATTTTCCCTCAGTCTCTGGTATTCACATTTTCCTGATTCTCCAGTGATATCTTATTACTCCAGGAATCTTCAGTGATGTCTTGTTTTCTCTAAGTCACTGGCGATATTTGTCTTCCGTCTTTCTAAACTGATATCTTTTCTTTGAGCATTCTCGAGTGATAACTTCTTTCTCCTCAGTCTCCGGTGATATCCTGTCTCCCTTCACTTTACAATATCTTGTCTCCCATCAATCTACAGTGATGTTAATTCTGCATTTCGATCTCCAGTGATACCTTGTTTCTCCCTCGGTTTTAAATATCTTGTCTCTCCTCATTCATATTAAATACATAGCTTTCCCTCACTCATAAGTGATATCCTGTCTCCCTTAATTCTTATATGATATCTTGTCTCGGTTTAGTGTTACATAATATCTTGTCGCCCCCTTAGTCTCTAAGATATCTCGTCTCCCATCAGTAATAAATTAAACCAGTTAAAACTAGTCTCTCCTTGGACTCCAGTGATATTTTGATTACCCTCAGGCATAACTGATATCTTTTCTCCACTCAGTCTCCTGTAATGTCCCGATTAGTATTCAATTATATCTTGTATCTCCTCAGTTTTCATTGAAATCTTGTTTCCAACAGTCTTCAGTTAACTCTCTCTATATCCCTCTGTTCATCATATTTCTCAGATCACTGTACACAAGCCCAATTATCTTTTTTCTTCTGTGAAAAATGATGTGCTTAGCTATGTTGTCAGTACAATCAGCTTCAGGTTTGCACAAGATTGTCTGTGCTCAAGACTTACATCTTTTTTTTCCATCTGGGTTTTCAACTGGGTTATCTGTGGTTATCTGTTGTGTCTCTTTTGTAGGAATACAGCTGAGGTTTCTATGATCAATTTATACACCCATTTTGTCCGTGATGTGTATGATCTATGTCAAAAGCTGTCTTCTAAGTGTTGTAGGCCTCCATCAGTGTTGTCTATCTTCTAGGTCTACAGCTGCGGTAACAGTCATTTAAGCCAACAGGTGAACTGTCATCAAACAATATTGTAATATTTCAGTTTACCTTCAATTTGTGCAGTACATATACAAACTTGACTCGCTAAGAGGAACCCTGTGATTACAGAATAACTTTCCTCTTCTTCCTCTTCATTAGCACCACGTGGTCTACCACTAAAATTTTTATTTGTTTTGTCATTCCCCCCCGTCGTGGGTGGGGGAGCCTCAAAGGGTTCCCGGTCATGGGAGGGGAAAAGGGGCACTAAAAGTGTCACGCTAAAGGGCAAAAAACCCCACCCATAGTAAACTTGGAAGAAAACCAAGGTTTTTCGTCTAGTTTTTAAGGGTAAGTTTTAATATTAACTAGCTTATGACTAATTAAATACAAAAAAAAATTTTTTGTATGGGCTTTTAATGATAAGATATATTAGACATCTTACTAGGTTTAGGGGGTTCGAAGGCCTCAACTGCTCATTTTTTTCCTAAATTCATAAGGTTAAACTGTGGGACAAATGGGTTTTTCAGCTAATGTGGGGTGGGGGTGTGTGTTTTGGGGTAATATAATATAAATATAAATAAATTAAATATATAAATATATATATATAAATAAATATATATATAAATATATATATAAGAAATTTTATACCTTTAGCCCCACATTGCCAAATTTTTAAAATAAAAATTTAAAAACCCAAATTTTTAACCGAAACGAATAATAACAGTGAGTAAATAAAAGAAACGAAATGAGTTTTCTTTTAGGTTTAAGCAAAATTTTCTTGTAATTACCCAAATTTATTTACCATTTTATTAGAAAAGTGACCCTTTATTGGAATTTTTCCCTCGCAACAATGATGCCCCCAAACGATCACTTTTAACGAACTTTCCATGCGTTGGCTAACTTGAAGGTAAAATCAAGTTAAAATGAAATTTGTTGACCTTTTTGCCCCAAATTTTAAATAGGGGAACCTTTCCCCAAAGGGTTTTCAATGATCTGCATGTAATTTTATATATATAATAAAATATATATATAAATAATATAAATATATATAATTTTAATATATATAAAATTTTATATATATATATTAAATAAGTAGTACTGGGGGGCGGGGTTTTTGGGTCGGGAAATAACACCTAGGGGTTACTTTTCCCGGGCTCCTCCCGAAAGGGCTTTCGGCTGAGCGAACCCCTTTTTTTACCCCCTATGGCCTAATGACCTTTTCCCCACCTAAAGAAAAATGAAAACCCTTTAAACCCCCCCCACACCCCCCCCCCCGAAACCCCCCCCCCCACCCCGCCCACGACCCCCGCCCCCCCCCCCCCCCCTACGCCCCCCCCCCCCCGCCCCCCCGCCCCCCCTCCCCCCCCCCGCGCCCCCCGCGCCCCCACCCCCGGGCCCCCCCGCCCCCCCTGCCCGTCCCCGCCTACCCACCGGGCCCCTTTCCCCGGGCCCCCGCGCCCCGCCCGCGCCCCCGCGCCCCTCGCGCCCCGCCCCCCCTTCCGTGCCCCTTTTGCACGTCGCCGGGTCGCCCCCGCGCCCCCGAATTTTTTTTTTCCCATTTTTTTCAAATTTTTTTTGAATTTTATTTTAAATTTTGCTCTCCTCCCGGGGTCAAAAATTTTGAGGTTTCCCCCCCCCCCCCCCCCTTTCCCCCCCCACCCCAATTTTTATTTTCTTATGATCTCCTTGGATCAAGTTTTTTTTTTTCGATAATACCAAGACTTTTCCCTCTCCATGGGCAAGTTTTCTCGAAAACAAAAGTCTCCATCTCCTCGGGTAAGTTTTCTCGATATCCCAAAAACTCCAATTTTCCCCGGATCAAATTTTTCTCCCCGAAAACAAAGGTTCCCCCCCCAACCCTTGGATCAAGTTTTTTTTCGATAATACAAAACGCAATTCCCCCCGGGTAAATTTTTCCCCCGAAATCAAAGTCCCCCATCCCTTGGAAACAAGCTTTTCTTTTATAATACCAAAAAACTCCATCTCCATGGGTCAAATTTCCCCCGATAATACAAAGACCTTTTTTCTCCCCGGTCAAAAATTTTTTGGGGTTTTGGGGGGGGGGGGTTTTTTTTTTTTTTTTTTTTTTTTTTTTTTTTTTTTTTTTTTTTTTTTTTTTATTTGGGTTTTTGGGAAGGTTTTTTTTTTTTTTGGTGTTTTTTTTTTTTTTTTTTTGTTGTTTTTTTTTTTTTTATTCCCCCCTCTGGGGTAGCATAATGAACTCCCCCTATGGGGCGGTACTTTCTCTTACTACAGGCTAAACAAGTGTGACGTCAGTATTCCCTCTTTAAATTTAAAATAATTTTTTTTTTTTATTTTTTTATTTAAAACTTCAGTACAAATTTAATAGACATATAAAAAAAATGATCAAGGACAACCAGTAAAACAAATATAAACAAAAACAATCGGGCAACTCGACAGTCACTATATACAATTTTTAAAAAACCAATTTAAAAAGGGAATAAATTTTAAAAACAAAGGCCACAAAATGGCTATTAAAAAACTCCTAAAATTACAACCTCAACACAAAAAATGCCCAAGCAAATGACAATCCCCCTTACCACCCAAAAAATACACCAACCTACAATATGCCTTTTTAAGAAACCTGGCTGCAACACGGGTGACCCAACCATCCCCCCCCCCACTCACACACACACCTTTTAAAACTAACCCATCACCAACCAATAACAGACATTAATTACCTCAACTTAGGATTATTATGACACTTCATTGAGGAAAATTTTTAAAACCCTTAAGGGTACGGACACCAAAATTACAATACCTTAAATAAGAACAATAATAATGGGTAATTACTACCCAAAACTGATCTGGACCACGTTAAAAAAAAAAACAAAAAAAACCCCGTCTTCAAAAATAGTGAAAGAAAAACCCTTAGAAAATTCAAATTCTTTGAAATCCAGTGCAAGTGGAACTAAACCCCTTTCCCAAAAGAAATAAATTTTAAAAATAATTTTAAGGTTAACATTAAAACATGTTAAAATTTTTAAATCTGCTCCTTACCCTTCCCATCAAGGGAACTAAGCAAAACTTATCTTGACAACCCTCATCGGTCACAAACTAGTCCCCCAAATCACACCCAACCAATCACTGCACCCCAAGGAGGTGACCCCGTTGAAATCCCTGAACCCCCCCCCCCCCCTTTTCCCAAACCCACCCCCCCGGGCAGTTAAAGCCCCTTATAACCCAATTTTCCCCATTGTTAGTCCTCTATAACCCTCAGAAAAATACTCTTCCCACCTTTTCCCAAAAAATGTCTCTGTTGCGACACAAAGTTCGATAAAACTCGCCCCCAAAGTCCTTCCACCACCCCCACCCACCCCCCCCCTCAACCCCCAAAAAACATATATTATCCACGATGACAATGCTAAACCCTTACCACACTCTCCCCCCACACCATCAATCAAACTCAACGCTCCAATACGCCACACCTTGCCCCCCCCCCCACCACTACCTTACGCCCCATCCCCTGATGCACTAAAAACCCTTCAAAAAAATAGACGACAGAACGCATCTCTTCCCCACTGCATCGCCACCCCCCCCACCCTCAAAAACCCCTCCTATTCGGAGTTCGCCCCCCGTTGGCAAAATCCCATGCGGGAAAAGGGTACATACCTCACCGCCCTAGGTCGATCCTTAATTTACTAAATCTTCGCCTATTACATCCCATGCATACATGGGGAAGATCCCTTAAACCCGGCGCCACTACATTCTCTCCAATTTAACAAAGTTCCCACCTTTTTTTTCCGGGTTCCCGGC